GGTGGTGATACCTGCATGCTTTACAGGGCTTCTCTCACCAGCTTCATTTTCATTCTTGATGATGATTGTGGTGATGATGATGATTGGTTTTGTTGCTATTATTATTAGATAGGACATTAAGGAAAGATGGGAGAAATTAGGAGAGTTGCAGGAGCTCAGTGATATAAAGGGGTTGGGTGAGTTTGTAGTAAGGGCATTGAAGATGGTTATAAGGAGGCTGGGAAAAAGAAGGAGAGAGGGGCCAAAGAAAGGACCAAGAAAGGTAGAGAAAGTTACTGACTCATGTCTGAAATAATGTTATTATAGCAAGAAAATTCCTGGCATTGGTATGTAAAAATAACCAATTGAGTTTTGGTTCAAGTAAGATGTTATAAACCTGTTCTCTCTGCTCCTCTCTGCTAAGCACAACTGCAAACCCTGGAAATGGTACAAGAGACAACCAAAAGAAAACTCTGACAGATGATCAGAAGCAGGTTAGCTGGTGACAGGATGTTCTGAAGCCCCTCACCCAACAGAAGAAAGTCATCAGAACTGGCATTTCCTGATACCTGAACTAGCAACAGAAAATAGCTCAGGAACAGTTTTTCCCCCTGGACTGGACAAAAGTCCCTCTGACACCATCAGGTGAGCCTGATACCACCTGCAAGTGAGATAGATTGAGAGCTCTGCCAAAAACAGGAAGCTGCTTCTCCTTCCTCACTGGTTGACGACTCCCCTTTTATACCAAGAGATACAGAAGAAAGGTCGGCAGAGCTGGCAAGAGAGACTTAGGTATAGTAGGCCCTGTCTAGAAAATGTCTTTGTACCTACAGGCCCAAGACTTTTCTCCTGATCCCCAAAACTCCAGACAGGCACAAGAATCAGAAAAAGGAACCCAGTTACAGCAAGTGGCCTAGTCTAGGAAACCTTTTTTGTCCCCAAGGGCCAAGACTCTACTCCTTTGCTCACAGTCGGTGGTAGTCAGGGAGGGCAATGGCGAAAGAGAGCCCCTCACACCGTCTCCCATTGAGAAACACCTGGTGGCCCAGCCTGGGGAACCTCCTTTTTGCCCCACTGGGGCAGCACCATCAGGGACTGGAAAGGGCACCGTCATCAACCAGATAAACAAAGTAGATCAAAATAAAACTGCAGAAACTCTTAAAATTAAACTTTTGGCTTGATGTGGTGGCTCATGCTTGTAATCCTAACATTTTGGGAGGCCAGGTGTGTATTACTTGAAGTCAGGAGTTTGAGACCAGCCTGGCCAACATGGTGAAACCCTGTTTCTACTAAAAAACACAAAAATTAGCTGGGTGTGGTGGCACACTCCTGTAGTCCCAGCTACTTGGGAGGCTGAGGCAGGAGAATCACTTGAACCCAAGAGGCAGAGGCTGCAGTGAGCCAAGACTGTGCCACTGCACTCCAGCCTGTGTAAAAAAGTGAGACTCTGTCACAAACAGACAAGCAAACAAACAAACTTCCATTGAAAAAAAAGCTTACAAATAATGTGTACGGCCAAGATCCGTACACAAAGTCTGAACTGGGTGACTGTGTGCCAAAATGAAATAAGTAGAATCCATCATCTCTTAACATTAGAGACAAAATGTCTAGCATGTATTGAAAATTATCTATCATAGCAACAATCAATAAGATTGCAAACTGAATGAGGAAAGACAACTGACACCAATACCACATTGGAATTATCTGACAAGGATGCTAAAGCAGAAATTATAAAATACTTCAACAATCTACTACAAACTATCTTGAAACAAGTTAAAAAATGGAAATTCTCATAAAATTCTTAGAAAAAAATTCTCAGAAGTTATAGGAAATAATAAAAAAATCACAGAACTGAAAACTGCAATAAAAAAAAATCGGAACCTTCTGAATGGGCTAGGCAGTAGAGTGGAGGATAGAATCAGTGACTTTGAGTCCATGCTTCAATTAAGATTCTATTATAGGCCTGGCATGGTGGCTCATGTCTGTAATCCCAGTACTTTAAAAGGCCAAGGCAGGTGGATCACGAGGTCAGGAGTTCAAGACCAGCAAGTTCAATACCAGCCTGGCTAACATGGTGAAACCTCATCTCTACCAAAAATTCAAAAATTAGCTGGGTGTGATGGCATGTGCCTATAATCCCAGCTACTCAGCAGGCTGAGACAAGAGAATTGCTTGAGCCCTGTCAGGAGGAAGAGGTTGCAGTGAGCAAGATCACACCACTGCACTCCAGCCTGGGCGACAGAGCAAGACTCACTCACAGAAAAAAAAAAAAAGACTATTTTTGGATGTCAGATCTGACATCATACATAACATGGTCTTTAATAAATGATTTGATGATTATCTAATACATTAAATGGCTTCACTTAATTTCTTTTAAAGTGTACAATGCCAGTACACAGCCAGTTTTGTTTCCCTCTTGCAACACTGGCATATGCAAGGAAACATTTGAGTTTAAAGAAAATTAAAAGAATTCATCATGTATTTTCCTTTTGGCTGCAAAAGTTTCCCTGCTCAGATTTTTCACTGTGCTGCACTGAAGTTTTGTAAGACTTGCCACATCACAGCAAATGTATGTTGCTTATTTCCACACATAACAGATTATGCTTTCATTAACATCCCAGCTGCTGCATTTCTCTTCCAGCTTTTTAACTTCCATAAATTCCCATCTTTACATGTTCTTGTTATATGGATTAAGTCCTACAAAGCAACAGACATGCAATTTGTTTTCAAAATTTCAAAGCAATTTTAATGTGGAGAAAGCCATAACTAAGATAATCACAGTGGGAAGTTTGTTTCCTATGCTTTATTATCTCCAAAGACTTTCTTTTCCTTAATGCAGTAGCATCACTATTCTCATCTCACCATCTTTGTTCATTTCCACTCCTCCATATCCCCTTTCTGTAAAATTAGGACTTTTCGTTTGATGCTCATTTCCTTGGAAATCTGAGCTACTCTTTCCTGTGGCTGACCCTCAATTCTGTACACTCAGATATGGCCTTTCTCCTAGATGTTAATTAGACCTTTCTAACTTCTGCCAGGCGTTTCTGCCATCTTTACATCAAACGTACCAGAAAGACCCCATATTACCCACAACACTCTGTTCTTTTCCCATCTTTCAAATTAGCTCCTGCCCTTTAAGTGATTGATGCCACCTAGAGCTTCTGCTCCACCAAATCAGAGATACCAGAATTATCCTGGCATCCTTCTGCCTGTTATCATTTCCAATCAGTCATTGAAGTCCTCTTAATTGCCCATCAGACAATTTCCCCAGAAATTTGTTCTTGATCACTGTGGTTACATTTTAGTAAAGGTACTATTACCATACATGTGAAGGGTTGCACTTGCTTCCCAACCCTTCCAACTTCTTATCTTTGTCCTGCTAAAATATTTCCAATGCCTGCCACTCTGATGCTCAAAATGTCATGGATCTTTATTGCTTGTACCATAAATTTAAAATTCTCCAACTGGCTGTGATAGATTGAATTTGCTGTTTCCTATTCTTCACTTCCTATAATATGAATATACCTTCCAGCCTTTGCAGTACCTCTTCATGTCAGCAGATTATATACTTGTCCATTGCAATGATGTTGAACTTAAACATGTGACTTGTGGGGCCCGAGGGAAGGGGAGTGGGCATGATGCAAACAGAGGTCTGTCTGCTTACAAGGCTTTCCTTTCTGTGGCCTACCATAAGAAAAGCATGTCCCCGGCAGTCCTTATCCTATTAGCTTGGTTGTGGAGTGAAGACCTGTGAGTGACGCTAAGCCCAAACCACAGTCTGAGACAGAGCTGCTGGCACTGCCCAAACACTCGTGAGTGAGAGCAAAAATGAATTCCTTGTTGTGAGCCTCTGGGATTTGGAAGTTGTTGGTTACACAGTATTACTACAGCAATAATAAATGACTGTCCTGACAATTGAGGACTCAAATGCTCTTTCTCATCTTTTAAACTCTCCCATATGTGAATACTTAAAGCTGGTAAAGCGGTCTCTGTAATATGTCCCCTTCACATTTTTTGACCATTTTCCTCACCTTTTGCTCTTTCACTCGTCCTTCAAGTTCCAATATCTTTCTTCTTCCATCATTTTTGTTGTGGTGACCACAACTCCCGGGGACATTTCCCTTCTTTAAACTACTTAGTGTTCACACCTCTTATTTCACAACTTGAACTTTGTCTGATATTGCTAGTTCTCTAGGAGCATATATCAGACCATATTAGTCCCCTTTTCAAAGTCTCCCAGGAGATCCTTCTGCCCTTGGGATGGGGAACAAGCTTCTTACTAGAACCCGCATAGTACCAGCCTCATTTATTGCTGTCTCCCTACTTATAAGCTCTGCTCTAGCCATGTTGAGTAATTTTCATTTCCTGGAACACATTGTACTATCTTCACTTTTGGACCTTTGTGCATTTTGTTCCTTACACTTGAATCACTTTTTCTTCTACCTCTGTCTTCTCAACACACACTTGAATCCAGACAGTTACCATAGTACACCAGGCATTACACTGCAAAGCCTTTCTTCCTCTCCATGGCTAGATCATGTCCCTTGTCTCAGTCAAGACGAGTTGCTCTGTGCTGCAGATACAGATCAGAACCCACAGCCTTGGTGGCTTTACCATCAAAACAGCATTTCTCTCACTTATGTCCAAAAAGTCAGTTTCAGCAAGGATGGGAAGGCTCTACTTCACTCGCAGTCACCTACAGGTTGAGGGAGCTCTGCCATGTTGGAATTGCACCAGCTAGAACCTATGATCCTACTCTTCTTCTTCTAGACCACAGCTCCAACTAGCTCCAAGACCCCAACTTCAAGGCCAGGGAGGCCTGGAAGCTTAGTGGGTCTCATAGAACATTTGGAGATCACTAGCTATCTTCTCTACACGCTTCCCAGAGGTGCTTCTATGAATGTCCAGGTCTTATCCTTTATCACACATAATATCATGGCATCTTCTTATCTTGGCTGTGTCTGTATGAACTTAAAGATCCTGAAGGACGACACTGTACCTTATTTCATCTCATCTTTTCAGGAGCAAATTCAGGACCTGACCCATAAGAACTGGTGGAGAATCATCTGTTGAATAGATGCTGAATGTTTGTGCCTCTCTGCTCTCCAACAAGATGTCATGCTCCTTGATGACGAGAGCCACCGCTGATCTCCTATATCCAGTCAACATCTTCCAGAAAACAGACCATCAATATGCATTTGCAGCATATATTGTGAGTATTTAACTTAATTTTTTGATAGCTAATTGTGTGTGGCCACTCTCCTTTACATAGTTATTTCTTTAGTTCATATTTTAATACCTTTCCTATCATTCTATATTGGATATGTGGAAGATATTTAACTCAGTTTAGTTTATATATAATAAATGCACAAGGGAAAAAAGAAAGCTTCCTTTTGTCACCTCTTTGGGGACTTCTTTGGACTTTTTCCACATGTGGAATCCAGATTGTGCTATTTTCTTCCAGATTGGGCCTAGAAGCAATACTTCAAGAGTCAGCAAAGCCTCAAGAATCATCCAGCTCTTTTCTCTGCTGCCCTTCTTTTCTCTGAAAATTAATGTATCTCTCTGTATCATTTATCTAATGCTGTGTAAAAAACTACCTCAAAACCTGGTACCTTCAGACAGCAAACACTTATCAGTTTACAGAGTATCAAAGATCAGAAATCTAGGAGTGGCTCACGTCGGTGGTCCTGGCTCAGTCTCTCATGGGGCTGCAGTGCAGGTGGAGAAACTGATGGGACTGAGGACTTACTTCCAAGCTCACTGATGTGGCTGTTGTCAGGAGAACCCAGCTCCCTGCCACATGGGCCTCTCCATAAAATGCTTAAAATCCACAGCAGCTGGCTTCCCCCAGAGTAAGTGATTCAAAAGAGCAAGCCACCAAGGCCGGGTGCAGTGGCTCATGCCTGTAACCCCAGCACTTTGGGAGGCTGAAGTGGTTGAATCACCTGAGGTCAGGAGTGTGAGACCAGCCTGGCCAACAGAGTGAAACCCCAATTCTATGAAAAATACAAAAATTAACCAGGTGTGGTGGTGGGTGCTTGCGATCCCAGCTACTCTGGAGGCTGAGGCAGGAGAATACCTTGAACCTGAGAGGCAGAGGTTGCAGTGAGCTGAGATAAAAAAGAGAGAGCAAGCCACACACCTTTTTATAATCTGGTATTTGAAGTCATCCTTTGTGACTTCTCCTTTATTCTATTCTGTAGAAGTAAATCACTAAGTCCAGTCCTGGGAGGGCGATTAGGCTCTATCTCTTGAAGGAGGAAGTATGAATTTTTGGATATACAGTCATGCTCCACATAATGACATTTTATCAATGATGGACCACATATATGACCATGGTCCCATTAGATAATAATGGAACTGAACAATTCCTGCTGCCTAATGGGATTGAAGCCATCATAACATCATAGTGCAAGACATTACTTACATGTTTGTGGTGATGCTGATGGAAACAAACCACTGTGTTGCCAGTTGTATAAATGTCTAGGGTATACAGTTATGTACAGTGTGTAATACTTGACAATAATAGCAAATGACTATGCTACCAGTTTGTGTGTTTACCATATTATATTTTTATCATTATTTTAGTGTGTATTCCTTCTATTTATTTTTAAGAAAAGGATAACTGTAAAACAGCATCAAGCAGGTCTATAGGAGTTTTCCAGAAGAAGGCATTGTTATCTTAGGAGATGACAGCTCCATGCGTGTTATTTCCTTGAAGACCTTCCCGTGAGATAAGACATGGAGGTGGAAGACAGTGATACGGATGATCCTGAGCCTGTGTAGGTCTAGGCTAATGCATGTGTTTAAGTCTTAGTTTTTAGCAAAAACATTTAAGATGTAAAAAATAAATAAAACCCTTTAAAAAGGGAAAGAAAGCTTATAGAATAAGGATTTTAAAAAGAGAACATTTTTATATGGCTGTACAATCTGTTTGTCTTTTAGGCTAAATGTTATGAGAAAAAAAGTCAGAAGTTAAAAAAAATTTAAATTTATAAAGTAAAAAAGTTACAGTAAGTTAAGGTTAATTGGTTATTGAGGAAATAATTTCTTTTTCTCATGACCCAGCATAGCAGGAAAGAATTTTAAAAATAAATTTAATGTAAATTCTAAATTGAAATTTATGTTTACCATAAAAGAAAAATAGAAGCGTATTTTTATAATGACTCCTCATTCTTTGCTATTCTATGTGGAGGTTTTCTCAGGCACAGAAAGGGGAGTGTGGAATGAAAGAGGGTGGGGCTGAGCAGAGAGAACAAAATGTCACCCCTGATATTTATCTTCATGCTTTGGGATCTTTGCACATACAATAAGCACCAACCAATGTTCAAGTCTTTGTTGCATCTGGTTTGGCATAAATGTACAGAGCTTACTAAGTCTATAGTAGTGCACATTAATGTCCCAGGCCTTCACATTCACTCACCACTCACTCAGTGACTCACCCAAAGCAACGTCCAGCCCTGCAACCTCCATTCATGGTAAGCGCCCTAGACAGGTGTACCATTTTTTAAAAAAACTTTTATATGGTATTTTTACTGTATCTTTTCTATGTTTGGCTACATGGATCCTTAATTATGTTCCAGTTGAGTATTCAGTACAGAAACATGCTGTATGGGTTTGTAGCCTAGGAGCAATAGGCTGTCCCATAGAGTCTCAGTGTGTAATGGGCTATGTCCTCAAGGTTTATAAGCACACTATGAGATGTTCACACAACAGCAAAATCACCTAACCACACCTTTCTCCAAATGTATCCCCATCGTTAAGCAAGGGGTGACTGTATATTTTTTGAGATGGAGTCTTGCTCTCTCACCCAGGCTGGAGTGCAGAGGCGCGATCTTGGCTCTCTGCAACCTCCGCCTCTCGGGTTCAAGCATTTCTCCTGACTCAGCCTCCTGAGTAGCTGGGACTACAGGTGCATGCAACCATGCTGAGCTAGTGTTTGTATTTTTTGTAGAGATGGCGTTTTGCCATGTAGGGCAGGATGGTCTTGATCTCTTGACCTCATGATACACCTGCCTTGGCATTCCAAAGTGCTGGAATTACAGGCGCATGCCACCTTGCCCAGCTAATTTTTGTATTTTTAGTAGAGACAGGTTTTGCCATGTTGGTCAGGCTGGTCTTGAACTCCTTAACTCAGGTGATGTCTTTGCCTTGGCCTCCCAAAGTGCTGGGAATACAGGCGTGAGCCACCACACCTGGTTGTGTGACTATATTTTTAAACCACCACACTCTCCCTTGGACAAGCTGTGGAGGAGAATGCCATTTTCATGGCCCCATCTCCCACGGTTGCTGAGGCAAACGTATCCCTGTGTCTCCTCCATTCACCTCTCTGGCTTCAGGGTATTTATTTCTAATCACTGAAATGAAATGAATCACATAGATTTAACATAAATAAGATGCAAAAAGAAGAGGTAAATTCCATAGGTCTCTAAGCATTCTCTAAGCCATTGAGCTGTCTGTGTTCAGACCTCCTTTCTTAGGTGAATGTCTCATCAACCTTGAGCTTTGGTTTTCATTTCTGAGGGTGAGCCCAGGAGAAGCTGTGGTGCCTCCTTGAGACCCATCCTTTTCTGGATTATGGTATTGCTTCCTGAAGGAAGACCCCTCTCTTGTTGGCATGGTCCTGATGTGGACAGTGCTAATGCAGGGGGGCTGGAGGTCCTGGGATTGACCCTTTGCCTCAGCTGAGTCTCTGTCATCCGAAGGGCCTGAGGTCCAGGTAGCATCATCTTGGTTTCTATGAAGAGTCACATTTTTCTAATGACTTCTCAGTCTTTGCTATTTTATGTAGAGGTTTTCCCAAGCAAGAAAGGGGAGGTATGGGATAAAAGGGTATGGGTCTGAGTAGAGAGAACAAAATGCCACTCCTGATATTGATCTTGATGCTTACGGATCTTTCCATATGCATATGTTTCTTTCTTCTGCACTCTCTAGCATCATTCTCACGAAGCTCTACCACCACAGTGGGATGGGGAACTTTTCTTGTGTACGTTCCACAAAGAGCAACATGGCATACTAGAGACAGTATGAGCTTTTAAATTAAACACTGGTCCAAAACTGTCTCTACTGCTTTGTTTCTGAACTTAGACAAGTTATTTAACCTCCCTGAGCTCCCAGTTTCTTGATCATTACATAAGGATAAGGAAAGGATTGAATGAAACAGCATAGAGATGCAAATATTAGGCTGGTACAACAGTAATTTCAGTTTTTGCCATTACTTTGAAATCAACCTAATAAAACATGTCAGGCATACAATAAGCATCAACCAATGTTGATTCGGCAAATGAATGAATGTGCTTCAGAGCTACCTGAAATCCCTATGGAAGATACTGATGGGATATTGTGCTCCTGAATGTCTCTCTCTTGCTTGTAGAAACTGACAACGAGCTGGTTTATATACTTCTAAGGCAACATGTTGTTTGGTATTACATGATTTGCTGAGTTTCTTGAATGCATTCTCTTGGAAGATTTTCATTTCTGGGAAACAGAAATGCAATTCATTTTGTATTTGAAAACTCTGACAACGAAATGTGAGGAAAATCAGAGTGTTTTTTGTTTTTCTTTAAATTCTCTCATATTTTAAATAAGCTTCTGAGAAATTAGATCTTGCTTTCTAGGAAGAAACATATTTTTCTAATGACTCCTCAGTCTTTGCTATTCTTTGTGGAGGTTTTTTCAGGCAAGGAAGCGGGAGTGTGGAATGAAAGAGGGTGGGGCTGAGCAGAGAGAATAAAATGCCACCACTGCTGATATTTATCTTCATGCTTTGGGATCTTTGCACATGCATATATTTCCTTCTTCTGCACTCTTTATGCAGATAACTACCCCAGCCTGATGGATGGCACGAGACAATCTGCTTCTCTTGCTTTCTCTCCCTCTAGAGATGTGTGGTTTCACCTTAATATATTCAAGGGAAGTCTTTGCTGCATCTGGATTGGCATTTGTAATTACACACTGGGAAAATATAATGTAAGGGGAGAGTATAACTTTTCTTCCAAGATTATGCAAAAGAGTTTAATTTGTTCATGTGCTCAGTTACCCACACACAAGGAGCAACAGATCAAGCTCTGCTTGACTTCTTCTGTATAATAATCACATTCTATGGACTTTAAAAAATGTGCCATGTTTTGTTGTGTATCGCACAGAATCTCTGCAGTGCTCTCAACTATTTTTCCATGGTTATTTTCCAAGTGATTATATGTTCTCAAC